GCACTTAGATGGAGAAGCAGGTGCGCACACCATCAGCGCGATGATTTAATATGGACGTTGGCTTGTCATTTGCATATTACCCGGTGAAAATGTCATCAAATCTTTGTGTGGAGAAGATGCATATTCATTCTTGTAAGTAACTTTTGTCATCGCCTTCAAGTTGCCTAGTGTTTTTCTAAAAGGTGAAGTTGCACACCACAAGGAGAGTTTTCATAAATCATTCAATGCAAAAAAATCATTCAATGACAAATTGCAAAGTACACAGAGGCGTTTTCAAAAACAAATCACTACAAAATTGCAATGTATATGGAAGATTTCCAAAATTCATTGAAGGACACGTTCTAAGGCACATGTAGGCATTCCAAAAATCATTCCATCCCACGTCGTATAGTCTACATGACATGCCCTTATCTACTGAAGACGCTTTCGTACAGTCTATATCACTCCCCCTCTTCGCCACAAGCCGAAAAGTTATGCATTACACATGAAACAAACCCTACCACTAATACGAACATGTCGAAGACCTACACGAAAGCTGATTCAAGCCGAGGATCTACACGAACGCTGATTCGTGCCGAACAAAATTGCAAAGTACATGAAAGCTTTCTGAAATTCACAAAGTACATGGAGCCTTTCCAAAAATCATTGAAGTACACGTTCTAAGGCACATGTAGGCATTCCAAAAATCATTCCAGCCCACGTCGTATACTCTACATGACATGCCCTTTTCTACAGAAGATGCTTCCGTACAGTCTATATCACTCCCCCTCTTCGCCACAAGCCGAAAAGTCCTGCATTACATATGAAACAAACCCTACCTCTAATAGGAACATGTCGAAGACCTACACGAACGTTGATTCGAGCCGAAGACCTCCACGAACGCCGATTCGTGCCGAAGTCCTGCATTACACAAAAGGTCATTCAAACCCGACACGATGTTCACCTGCCTACACAAGTTCCAGACAGAAGTTCATCCAAGCCCGACATGATGTCCACAACGTGATAAGGTCAGACCCATTGCAAAAGGAGTGAGGTGATAAATGAGAGTCTATTAGCATATAGAATTCGAATACCTTGAGACGATGAGTATCTTCGTTGCATGCGTCGGGTGAGAAGAGTTAGTACGATCTTCATGGTAGCAACATGTTCAGTCTTCGAGTAGCCTCTCGCGATCATCGTCGTTGCGCTCGTCTATGTTGAACTCGATTAAAAGGACTTGGTTCGGAAATTCGGGCCTCAAGATCTGCTTCGATATTCGGCAAGTCACGCATGAGTAAATCTCTTAAAACTCGATTCAAATTGGTCCAGTGACGGATTTGGAACGGACAACGGTCTCCCCAGAACGGGGGACTGTCATCATCTTCTCTCACGCCAGATACAAGGAATAATTCTCCATCCAAGCACGAGGCGATATGCATGATGAAGATCGATAAGAAAAACGTAATGGCAGGCTCACAACCTTCTGGCATTCTATCGAAAGATGTACTGGTTACGTACGAATAATACAAACACCTTCTCAACTCCCCTTCAGACGCAATGTAGAAATCAATTCTGAAGACGGGCTTGTCGCGTAGTGTGGCCATCACAATGTACTGAAAAGCTGGGGTAGGCGGGGGCGAAACAGACGGCTGGACACGAGCGCAAACGTCTTCGGGGACCGGAAGGTAGCGGTATCTGGGAAGCCCAATGTTGCCAAACCACTCTAAACCATAAATGTTCTCAGTTGCGGTAATAACTGTACTTCGCAGACTTTCGCAGTAGCCCAGGTCTCTGACAACGACTGTCCCACTGAAACTTCCAGACGACATCCTGCATCAGAAAAGAGAACAGCGCCATTGTTATATACGGAGAGGTGGGTAAACGACGAAGTTGAGACCGTCTAATGTTGGCAAAGTGCGAATGAACTCGTAATTAGATAGACAGTTTGTCATGCAACGGGGTATACCGAAGGGGACGGGCTGTAAGCATAGTGAGAGTCTATTCGCACTAGAGAACAGACGAAGCAACTAATTCAGAACGCTGCTAGTGAAGATGTAGATGTCYAGCATCGCAGTAAGGGCAGTCGCACACATATCTCATCTTCCCGTTGCGCAGAGTCACTTCMTGAGGTCCGGAGGCTGAATAATCCAGATGGCGGTAAACAAATCGCAATTCGTTGTCCCTATGTTCGACTATGAAATTTATTTCGTCGCAGCTATCGAAGAGGTAGTTAAGTTGTTGGTGCACCAAACAGTCGACCCGCAAATGCAGCTCATCTTTGAGTGCCTGATCTATGGCGAGCCTGTTTTTGAACCATGCAAGGGAACCAGTAGGGCCGGATGTGTGCAACGCTTGAAAAGAAGTGAGCCTGACACTGTGAAATTCCTCCTTTGCGAGAAAAAGAGCTCTCATTCGTCGACCGTCCACCTTGACAGCAGTGAAGAGCAGCATGATGGTGGTGCCTCGATTACACACCCTCGCTCGACCGAAGTAGTCTATGATCACCGGCGCCGACTTCGTCGGTTGGCCGAGGCAAAACCAGGCACACAGTTTTTGATGCAACTTGTCCAACGACGCCCACTTAAGTTTCTCACATAAAATGTGCCATGCTTCAACCATCTTAGAAGTTTGGACGGGTCCCTCTTCAAGGGGTTCCCTCTTCAGAAGTGACTCCAACCTGATAGGGTATGCCTGTACATCCTTCATCAAAGTGTACAGGTACCAAAAGTTTGACCCTACATCACGGCGAATCCGAAGTTGTCCTTCTTCCGCACTTTGCCACGAAGGGATTCCCCCGTCCGGGGCAACATCATCTTCGAGGTGCAAGTAGTCACGGTCCAGACTAGATCATCCAATGTCTTCCCAAATGTTCTTCGACAAAATGATTAGATCGACATCCGGCGCTGAGAACTTCCTACTCTGCGACGAAGTCCCGATATCCATTCTGCATCATCGGAGAAACGCAAGGAAGCGCGTCAGTTGCGATTCTCGCAAGTGCATAAGCAAAAATTCCAGGAATGTTATATGCAGGAAAGGGTTTGATAATTGGTAATTGGTTCACACATCGCAAGAGAGCGCAAGTTTTCTAACCGCCGTCTAATGCCGACTTATTTTCTACACGTCATTCATGTGGGTCGATAAGTGAGAGTAGATTCGCACTTCGCAAATCAGCGCAAGTCCTGCAACGGCCTCCGATGATTGGCAAATAAATGACGGTAGATTCGCACTTCGCAACTGAGCACAAGTCCCGCAACCGCCGCTCAACATCTCCAACACGTCGTTCATGTGGAACGGTCAGACTACTCTCTTATTGGGTGGAACGGTCAGACTACTCTCTTAATCAGCGCAAGTCCTGCAATGATGGCGTCGATGAACGGCGAGGTCGTCCTATGAGTACAACAGCAAAGTGCGAACTAACTCGGAGTTGTCTCACACAGCAGGTCATGGCGACTGGTGTACATCCTCACAGTAAGGACAGTCGTAGATCTGTCTCCGCCTACCCCCTACGAATTCCAATGTTTGGACACCCGAACGGTGATGCGAAACTTTTCGTAGAGTGTAGTCATTTCAGTTGTCCTTGTGTTCCAACGTGAATAATATGTCATCACACAATCCGAAAAGGAAGTGAAGTTGGGCTTGCACCAAACAGTCAACCCTTTTATTCAACTCTTTTGCAAGCGAATGATCTATTTCGAATCGTTCACGAAAACGCTCGAGAGCACCAACGGACGCCGGCTCGCGAAAGTCTTCCCTCATAAGGAAGAAAACTCTCATTTGCTTACCACAAAGCTTGATCGTCGTGAAAAGAGTCAGCACAGGGGTGCCACGGTTGAACAGACGAACTCGACCATGGTAGTCTATGATCACAGGAAAACACAACTACGGCTTTCCGATGTTGTACCATGCGCAAAGTTTAGCATGCTGCTCGTCCATACAACCCCACTCTTATTCGAAGCGCAATGACTCCCAGTCATCTACCATATCCTCGACGTCCATCTTCTGCTCCTGACTGGATGGAACTTCCAAAAGTTGGACTTCTTCTAAACTCCAGTAGAGGTACCACATATTTGATCCTTTATCACGAACTATTGTAGTTTGTCCATCAACAACACGCGTTTCGGGTGCAATGTAACCGTCGAGGCCGACCCCAGCTTCGATATGCTGATAATCGCTGTCAAGACTGAGCGTTTGTTGTGCCCAAATGCATTTGTTCATGATGATAAGATCCGTGTCCACATTCTCGATCGAAAAGGAATACNAGCGTTTGTTGTGCCCAAATGCATTTGTTCATGATGATAAGATCCGTGTCCACATTCTCGATCGAAAAGGAATACTCGCTCGCATACGACGAGGTTTCGTAGGACGTTGTCTCATATACAACGTCGAACGATGGTGTGTCGTCGTCATGCATCATGCAGGACAAAAAACCGGAATTAGTTCGCAGTTCACGTCTCGTCATTATCTTAGCGGAGTTCGTAGCTACCAAATCGGAATCAGTTCGCATTTATCTAAACGGGCACGTCGGACGGACCGGAAAGACAGTCGTCCCCCAAGGCCACAAACGCTTTCTCGCATCGTCATGCATCCTGCAGGACAAGAAACCGGAATTAGTTCGCAGTTCACGTCTCGTCATTATCTTAGCGGAGTTCATAGCTACCAAATCCAAATTAGTTCGCATTTATCTAAACGGGCACGTCGGACGGACCGGAAAGATAGCCGTCCCCCAAGGCCACAAGCGCTTTCTCGCAAACGGATGTCGGTATTGCAAGGCCTGTCATGAATTTGCTCTCATCCGTCCCTTTGCGAAAAGGTCTTCTCCAAGAATAAGCCACGGTTTCGGCGCGTTGCCATTGTTCCTCTTCCGAAGTGGAAAGTTTCCACCTCTTCGTCCAAGCGTCGGAGTACCTTTCGCGAAGATCGGACGAGTGACCTGTAGGCACCCACCACTGTATACGTAAACAACCGAAATGCGGTGAGGAACGGTCGTCCACAACCTCAGACTGTGCTCTGCCAACCCAGAACGGGACACCTTGAGACAGTTCCTCATCAGGCGGCCTAACAATCAGAAAATCACCTTGGTTTATATGGCGCCAAGGGTCGAAGTCCACTTTTGGACGGCCCGCCCTCGGTCCTATATATATAAGCGAAGCATCTGGCGAAGGAGGGTCGGCTTCTTGAACTTCCTCCACAGTCTCGACTGATTGTGGCCAGAAGGTGTGAGGGTAGATCTCCGGCTCGTCCGCCCCGAGGACATCCTCTTCCTCACCCTCTTCCGTCTCCTTCTTCTTTTGCTTTTGGATCATGTCGTCCGCCTCAACGAAGATGGCTTTCCAATAAGACAAAGCATCCTCCCGCTTGTCGACCTCCTCCTTCCTATATGTCTGCCACATGTGTCTATGCTGTTCGAGGACGTCCACAAATTTTTGGACACCGTTACGAGCCATCAAAAAATCGTCTTTGACGACACGGGGAATAACACATGGCTGTGGAGGGGAGGCAGGGCCTGCATACTGGCCATCGACAACCGGGAACCAGTGAACTGGTCTGCCTTCCGGCATCCATTCCGCATCTGTACAATACTTCTTGTACACCATGACGGGACTGCCGTCACGCATGACGAATTTGAAGAGGTGTGGTTTCGATACGCCGACGATGGTTCTATCGACGTATCGATCCATTACCCGACGCCAATCGGCAATGTGATCGAGCTCAATGCACTTCGGCGGTATCTTGTACGACGACTCGATAAGCGAAAACAACTGCTTCATGGTGTAAGCATAGTTGTCCTTCAGTTTTTTCGAGAAAACACTAAAAGTCGCGTCTATGTCGGTATGTGTGTGGCCAACGAGCATGAACCCCACTTCGACGTCTTCGAAAATCCCGAATTTCACCAGAAGAGAGGCCAAACACATAAGGTATTGGTTTTTGTTTTCCCTCCAACAATTGTCCGCCTGGATGCAGAGGTGGCGTGACCATTTCTGTCCCAACGCCTGCAACTCACATAGAGTCCGCATAACGCACGTCATGGTGCCATCGGAACCGTGCACATAGAAAGGCAAATACGTGTACACATAAATGGACGGTTTTCTGCCGTGAGCTACGACCGAGGTCAGGTTCATTTTCATCATCATGTCGTATCAATGATCCTTGGAGTAATTATACATGTCGATGTGAGGAATGGTTGTCTTTTTCTGATCCATTCCATCCACTATAAGACAGAGGTATTCCACGGGGTTCAAAATGGAACGAAGTTTTCAGTCAGCGTAATCCGCACGGTGAGCGACCTGATCTAGTTGGTGTTTGCGGTGCTTTTCATCGAAATCCCTACGGTCACGAAGGAGGAAGGCGTTGTCTCTGGCCTGTCTAAGGCGGACGCACTCGCCACATTTTGTGAACGAGTTGGACTTAGCAATGTCGGCATGCCACAAGTACTTCCTCCATATGGACTCCATATGGAGTAGAAGACTTGCTCCGAAACGACGGTCTGACCCGCCGCTTCCAAGTCCACCTTGATAGACTCGTTATACAAGGAGCTTCGTGAAATAAGCAGGGAGCATAACTTTTGGTCGTTTTGAGGTCCCCCTCATAACCATTTCGTTAGGCATAGCATCTCCATGTTCTTCCACGAACCTTGTCACACGAGCCAGGATGCTCACATACTCCGGTCTCGGGTTCAACAATCCTCATCGACCATGACGGCCACGGACGACCCCATCCGACTTGCACTTGCTATAACGACGAAATGTGTTTCGATATATCCCTATTATCTTGCACCAACTGACGATGCACCCACGGCGTTTGCACTGCACTGGTTGGACTCTTTCCAGACCGCCGTCGAGGATAGTGAAATTGTCGAGGGTTTGCATCCACCACTTGATCCTCCTTTCGAGGGACATTTCGTAATAGGCTTCGCGCACCGGTTTGATATCGTCAATGGTCAAGACCCGAAGACACTTGTTCTTACAACATTTGTACGTCGGGACGAGCGCAATGTTAGTTTCATTCAATCGACTTTTGACCCTCTTCGAATGCTCTGACCTTCTAACCGGCCTATTTTTTCGATTATATCTTCCCCTTTCTCCAGATAGGGGATGGGACAAAACTTGAAGGACTGCTTCGGGAGTTCCAGTTTGGCTTGTGGTCGGGGACCCATGCGCTGCACCTAGGAATTTCGATCTGTCCGTGGGAGCGGTTCTCGACAAATCAGATTGGGAGGATTCCGATGAACTGTAGAAATTTGTATCTACAAAACCAGTCTGCCAGTTTTCCATTGCACCCGTCGCTGTCATCGACGAAGAGCCAACTATTCCGGCTTCACATGCAATTCTCTTACCTATCTTCGTACTTCCACACGCACGTACCGTTGCCTGGTCCCTATCATACCCGTTTCTACCAAATGCACCGCACTGTTCCCGATCAGATCCGTTTCGATCGGGTGTACCGCAGAAGTCTGTGTCCACCAACGATCGACTGTAGTCAAATGCTATGGGTTGGGTAACTTCAATGCTTCTTGACAGTCTACCCGCTATCTGCACAAGATCTGATCTGATCCAGTCGTTTCGGATACACCACAGAAATCTGTGTCCACGAACATCCACCCACCGGGAAACGTCTCAACATCCCGAACACCCTCACTACCGGGGATTAGCGTTGTAGATACGCGCTGACCGTCGGGAACGTCGGTATAGCGAACAAAACGACGTCGGGCGGACGTCGTAGACGAGCCTGAATGATTCGTCGGGGTCAACATCGAGAACTCCCTTTTCAAACCGCAATGCCGATCAGAGGGAGCTTTCGGGCTACTGTCACAAGAACTACGTTCTCGAACATCGTCTTCTCCGTGTTGTCGTGACGGTGGCGGTGGCGTCACACAATGGACGGATTGGACAGCCATTTGAAGAGACGATTTACACAGAAATTGTACAACAAGAAAATCACGTCAACGTATGACGAGGTCAGGGAAATAAACAAGAGGGCAAACTCACATTCCAAATATTTATCACAAAACAGTGGAACAACAACATTTGAATCCATATCGTTTTGTCGGACCCTGATGTGAGGCTCAAGTGGTATCTCAAGTCCGACTCCTCACCCACTCGTTCAGTATGCAAGTGGTTTGGATATGTCCGAGTAAACTCGCACTTTTTCAAGCGAGAGTACAAATGCGAGGTGATTCGAACTTTTTCAACGTACAGTAAGAAATTAAGTTCATGGTCGGAACAAGACCGAACACAAGTGCGAGTCGATTTGATATTATCCACTAAACAGCGAGAATTTTCAAGTGCCAAAAAATTCGCACTTCAGAGGAACATTTGGATTACGCTGTGCAATAAGAAATTGCCTTCGTGGTTGGTTCAGTGCCGAGTTAACTCGCAAATACAAAACGACTTCATTCTTTTGGGCCGAGAAGAGACGCAAATTATCGACTAAAGAGGAACAAATTTAGGGGGATGGATGGTTGAAGAGCGAATAAATTCGCACTTGCAAACGAGCATTTCCATTATGAAATTGGGGCTTGTGGACTAAAGAGTTAAAAATTTGGGGGTATGGTTGGTTGAAGAGCGAATAAATTCGCACTTGCAGACGAATATTTCCACTATGAAACAGGGACTTTTGGACTGTAGAGTAAGAAATTTAGGGGGATGGTTGATTGAAGAGCGAATAAATTCGCACTTGCAAACGGGCATTTTCATYACGAAACTGGGGGTACAMGTGCGAGTTAATTCTGACCTATGGACTAAACAGTGACAAATTAAGGGGTTGGTTGGTTCAAGAGCGAATGAATTCGCACTTGTAAACGAGCATTTCCATTACGAAACTGCGGGTACAAGTGCAAGTTGTTTCCGACTTGTTCTGCGTGTAGTACGAGCTACAGATCGTCGCAAGAGAGAAATAGGGAAAGATGGCGTGCTATTTTTTAAGATGGAGAAAGATTGCGAAGCGATGGGCAGACGGCGCATCGATGAAAATACATGGAGAGAGATGGCGCACCGAATGAGAGAGATGGGGCACCAAGAGAGATGGATAGAGTCACAGTCTTCCCCCGATTACAACGTCTGGTCATTACAGCTGAATTCGGGTCATCTTTCAGTCTAAAGACAACTGTAATGAAAGTGCGTTGTATATTCCGGGGAAGAAGGTGGATGGCGCAGGAAGGGAAAGAGATCACGAACTGATTGGGAGGTGTGCCGCAGCGAGAGAGAGAGAATGCGCACCGATGGAGAAACATGGTGCAGTAATGGAGATAGCAAGTGCAGCGATGGTTAGCGATAGCACAGCAATGGAGAAAGATGGCGCACCGAAGCAGATAGATGACGATGGAGATAGATTAGGAAAGATAGCGCAGCGATGGAGATATATGACGAAGGAGATAGATTAGGAAAGATATCGTTACGAAGGAGATGGATGACGAAGGAGATAGATTAGGAAAGATACCTCAGCGATGTGGATAGATGACGAAAGGTCGGTAGAGATCGCGCATCGGTGGAGAGAGATGGAGAGAGGACGCGCAACAATGGTTAGCAATGCCGCAGCGATGGAGAGAGAAGGCAGAGCGATGACCAAGATTTGTTATTGCACAACATCAGTTCCATCGAGTTAAACCTTCGTTAAGCATACCTGTAACCTGTTTCGTGTGATTCCATAGTGATGGGCGGCTGCACCGACGACAGCCTCAAACAACAATACAATGGCGATGGCGGGATCGCGCACGAGTAAGGGAGAGCCTCTGGGGCAAGGATGGAGGTTGTCCGATTGTCGAGAGAGATCACGCAGTGATGAAGTGAGATGGAGAGTGATCACTAAGCGATGGAGGGAGATCGTGTGGCGATGGAGAGAGAAATCGCGCAGCGCTGCGGTGGGATAACACTGGCCAGGGCTTCGATAGCGATGGCCAACGCTGCAGTGGAGAGTGATGGTGCACCGGTGGAGAGCGATGGCGTGGCGATGGAACGCGTTATAGTGCAGCGATTGCGATAGCGATGGCAGCGATGGAACAGCGATAGCGATTGCGCACCGGTGGAGAGCGATGGCGCAGCGGTGGAGAGCGATGGCGCAGCGATGGAACAGCGATAGCGATGGCGCAGCGATGGAACAGCGATAGCGAAGGCAGCGATAGCGATAGCGATGGCGCACCGACTGAGAGATGGCACAGCGATGGAACCAACGTTGCGATGGTGCCAGCGTTGCGATGGCGCGGCGATGGCCGCTGCGATGAGAGCAATGGCGATTGTCAGCGCAACGATGGTCAGGCGAGCGTGACGGCTGCGATGGGAGATATAGCTTTGCGTCGCGATGGCGATGAGCTAAGCGCATCGATGGCGATGGTGCATGGCGAGCGTTGGCGATGGCGATGAGCTAAGCGCATCGATAACGATGGTGCATGGCTAAGCGCATCGATATCGAACGCCGTTGACATTTGCAAAATGTGTGAATGACAGCGACACCGGAACTTATAGATTTCCGGTGTTTTTGACCTCGGCGCACAACAAATCACCGCGCCTCGGCGGGAAATAAACCGTCGCCTGGCCTCGACGCGCAACGAACCGCCTCGGTGCACAACGAATCGCCGCACCTTATAGATTCTTGTGCCTGACCTCGTGCGTCGGATCTTGTCGATCGACGGTCCAGATTACAACTGCGAAAATGACATTGCCTGCCCCTTGTTTTCGGGAACTGTCACATCATTGCACGCCGGAGTAGACGGAGATTTTGGGGCCACTGGCATAACAGTGGCTCCGTTCATCTGCGCGGTTGAAAATTGTTGATTGACGACTGACAATTTCCAGTACCCCTTACCGTTTATAGGCCCTGGCGTTTTATGGGCCGAGGGGTGCGATACGCGAATTGATTCAGCCCCACCTTGATGGCGTTTTATGGGCCCAGGGGTGCGATATGCGAATCGATTCGACCCCACCTTGATCCCGACGCGAGGCCTGCTGCAACAAAGTATAAAAGGTGTTGCAGCCCTCGAGTTATCCCTTTTGTTGGCGCTCCACAGATCAAGTCGCGCTATCGCTTCCGCGCGCGTTCTGATATTTGGTCTTCAGCCCCCCCCACCTTCCGCCGTAGCCCGCTCACTCTTCGCTCTTCGCTCCATCCGCAGTTGCTACATTGTGTTCGGTTCGCTCTTCGCTCCTCGGTCTTCGCTCTTCCTAGCTCGATATCCCTCCACCATAGCTGGTTCGGTGGTTGGTTGCTCGCTTAACGCACGACGAAGGTAAAATCATATAACTTGAGTTGTCTTGTCCGAACACATTCCCAGATGCCCTGTCTGTACCTGCAGGATATAACGCCGCAGCCGCATTCTGTTGAACCCCAAATCAATTCCCGGTTTTGTTGTTTCGCCAGTGGACGTGCTCTGATCTCTTTTCTCCACCCTCCACCTCCGTCCGCCATAGCCGATCCGCGTTCCGCAGCTCGATTACATTTTGCCATAGTCACGATAACGTTCGTATAAAGCTGCTCGAACCCCTTCGCAAGTTGCAGTCGTCGCTGCGCATGGTGAACCCCGAATCAATACCTAGTTGCTACACTGAACACCGAATCAATTCCCGATTTTCGCTCACCTGTCCCTTGTGAGGTCGCGGACTTGATATATATATATATATATATATATATATATATA